TCCCCCTCCTCCTCCTCCTCCTCCTCCTTTTTCTTCTTCTATCTACCACTTGAGCCACAGCTCCACTTCCAACTTTTTCTGAGTAGTTTTGTTCTGAGATAAAGGTCTCTTGGACTTTCCTTCCCCAGCATGGCTTCAAACCATGATTCTCATATCTTGGCCTCTGGGGTAGCTAGCTAAGATTACAAGCATGAGCTACCACTACTGGGCTAAAAAAAGAATTTTTTAAGTGCTAGGAATGGAGGGATTATAGTAATCTTGAAATGTTCTTCCTTCTATCTGCTTGGCCTTCCTGGAGAGCCCAAATGCTCCTCAGTTCCATAGTTTGCAGGAGGCTGGGTGTCTGAGACAGAATCCACTCTAGGCATAGGGACTCACTAAGACACCAGCTCCCTAGACATGATTTTAACAAGGCCAGGGATCAGAGTCCAGAATGTTGCAGTTGTGGTGCTGAGTTAGCACTTAGAACTGCTTACTGCTGCTTCAGTAGGTGGGAAATCCAGAGTGCTGACTACTGAGCCAGAGGAGGGGAGGAGGGGAACAGACTCTCAGCTCAATTTAAATCTGGCCCAGCTTCCTCCAAGCCTCTCCTGAGTCCAGACTCTGGGACTGAAGAAGCCCTTACACCATGACTGAACTGTGCCAGTAAGCTCACCAAACATCTGGGATGCTGTTGACTGACTTGGTTGAAATATTCATATTATATCCAGTGCAGGTTCTAAATATACCCCAGAAACCATGAATGCACATCCTTCTGCCTTCCTAACTTCCCCTTTGTCTGGGAGCCATGTTCAACAGAGAGCCGTGAATAGGGGCTCAGTGTCTGTCTCTCTTCCCCCAGCTTGTGCCCTTTATCACCAGGAACTACCTCAAACAAGGCTTCATGGAAAAGACTGGCCCAAAGGTATACCTCTCCCCTACCCCCCCCCCCTTGCAGGACTCAGACTCACATGACCTGTGAGTCACCACCAATAGGGCAGAATTTGGGAGGTGGAAAAACAAGGGTCTAAGTTCCTGGGTTGAAGGAGTCAGTGGAGACTGGCTGTTAGTGGGTGAGAGGCTTTTCATGGTCAGCCCCCCACCCCACCATCATCACCATTATTCTTCAGAACCCTATCTAACCCACTCTATTCCTGGGAAAGCAGAACCAAGAAGGGACAGCTCCTGGGCGGGTATTCTAGAACCTTCGTGTGAACCTGTGTATGTGAGCCTACCAGGACCAGCCAAGGTTGTGGGGCTAGTGAGGTGTGAGGAAATACATATGCACACTTGTCTTCTTCTTTTTTGGTTGGTTGTGGGGCTTGAACTCTGGGCTTGGGCGCTGTCCCTGAGCTCTTCAGCTCAAGGCTAGCGCTCTACCACTTGAGCCACAGCGCCACTTCTGGCTTTTTCTGCTTATGTGGCACTGAGGAATCGAACCCAGGGCCTCATGCATATGAGGCAAGCACTCTACCACTGAGCCACCTTCCTAGCCCCTAGTGTGCACACTCACTGGCTCTTCTTCAGTAAACAAGCCCCTTACCTAGGGCCAGCTCTTGTTCCCTAATCTAAGAAGGAAAGGAAGGCCAGCTGTGGGGTGGAGGAGGATGGAGCCTGGATGCTAGGTAGAGAGAAACTGGCCACCTAGGATCTGGGTGCTTGAGGGGCAGAGAAAGAGGAGAGATAGAGAAGAGACTCAGAAATTCACTTTGAAGAGGCTGCAATCCATGGCTTTTGGAAAAGGTTTTACAGATTGAGGGCCAGGTATTAGGGAAGCATGGGGCCCCAGGCTACTTGGAAAAACAGCCAGGGACTGGGAAGATGGTTTAGTGGTAGAGTGCTTGCCTTGCATGCCTGAGGCCCTGGGTTCGATTCCTCAGCACCACATAAGCTAAAAAGAAAAAAGCTGGAAGTGGCGCTGTGGCTCAAGTGGTAGAGCGCTAGACTTGAGCTGAAGAGCTCAGGGACAGCACCCAGGCCCAGAGTTCAGGCCCCAGGACTGGACCAAAAAAAAAAGAAAAGAAAAGAAAAGATAAACATCCAAAGGTAGTTTCAGGCTCCTTCCTCCACTAGCCAGGCAATCTGTCTCCCCCTCCCCTGTTCTTGTGCTGAGCCGTTTCTCCTTGATCTAGGTTAGAATTTGGCCCAAGCCAGCACTTTCTGCCTTGCTGAGCAGTGGCCACTTCTGATTTCCCCAGCTTCCTTCTCTGCCCACAGCCTGAGAAAGCAGAAAGCACCACTTCCAACCCCAGGCAGCAACTGCTGCAGGGAGGTGGGGGGGAGGGCAGTGAAGTTGGGGCAGGGAGGAAAGGATAAAGCTTGCAGAGTCTGAGCACAAGTCCAGGGCCCAGGAGAGAGGCACCAGGGCATCTGACAGCAGAAGTCAGGCTGGAGAACTAGTGGGACAGGCTGTGATCTTTGTCCTCGGCCTTTTCCAACCCTTTTAAAGAGGTTCTCTCTTTTGTAGCAGAGAGAACCTTTCAAGAAAAGGTGGTTTGCCCTGGATCCCCAGGAGCGGAGGCTGCTGTATTACAAGAACCCTCTGGTAAGAGCCATTCCTGGTGTATCCTCAACATGTCCCCAGACCAATGTAGCCCAGTCCTTGTCAGAGGCTACCCAGACATGCCAGGGCTGGGGACCCTGATGGGAAGGCCTGTATCCTTTGCTTCTCTCTGTTAGCTTCTGTGTGGGAAATCCATGTGAGTTTCCCCAGGGCTGCCAATTGTGGATAGATAAGGTGTTTCCTCCTTGAGTCTCTGGAGCTCACTTATAACCCAGCGGTGCAGGAGAAGAGTTGATGAGAAGTGTGGGCTCTGCAGTGGCTCAGACCTGTCTTTGTAGTGGTGTGCCCTGGGTACAGTGCCCACACTGCTCCATCTAGTTCATGGTTTTTTTCTGTGGAAGTAGGTCTGGCTTGTAGGTAGCCATCATGAGTATCTGAGTTGCTGCATAGAAAGTACCCACTGTAGCTGGGTATTGGTGGCTCATGCCTGAAATCCTACCTACTTTGAAGACTGAAATAGAAGGATCATGGTTCAAAGCCAGCTTTGACAGGAAAGTCTCCAACAGGAAAGCCCATGAGACTGATATCTCCAGTTAACCACCAAAAAGCCAGAACACCAGCCTTAAGCATTAGCATTAAGCATTAAAGCTTAGGGACAGCACCCAGGCCCGAGTTTAACACACACACACACACACACACACAGAAGACACCTACTATGCACTTCAGCGAATATTATTATTTTTTTCAATCAAGTCACACTTGTGATTTATTCAAAGGTTTTCAAAGCCCTTCAAAATCATGCTTGGAGCCAGGTACTGGTGGCTCACACCTGTAATCCGAGGCTGATATCTAAGGATCATAGTTTAAAGCCAGCGCTGACAGGCAATTCCATGAGATTCTTATCTCCAGTTAACCACCAGAAAACCAAAAGTGACACTGTGGCTCAAAGTGATAGAGTGCTAGCTCAGAGACAAAGCCCAGGCTCTGAGTTCAAACGCCAAGACCCACCAAAACAAACAAACAAAAAAATCCCAAAACCATGCCTGGTAGGGCCTTCATACTCTGTGTGTGTGTGTGTGTGTGTGTGTGTGTGTGTGTGTGTGTGTGTGGTGGCGGGGTTCATGCATGTATGAACTGGTACTGCGCCTTGAACTTCAGCCTGTGGGGCTAGTACTCCACCACTTTGAGTCACAGCCTCACTTTCCATTTTCTGGTGGTTAATTGGAGATAAGAGTCTCTTGGACTTCCTGCCTTGCCTGGCTTCAAACTGTGATCCTTCAGATCTCAGCCTCCTGCATAGCCAAAATGACAGGTGTGAGCCACCAGCACCCAGCTGAACTTCAAGTTCTGCTGGTCCTTTTCACTCAAGGTTGATGTCCTACCACTTGAATCACAGGTCCATTTCCAGATTTTTACTGGTTAATTGGAGACAAGTTCCTTGACTTTTCTGCTTGGGCTGTCTTCAAAGTGTGATTCTCAGGTCTCAGCTTCCTGAGTAGCTAGGATAATAGACATAAGCCACAGGTAACAGGCTTCTCATACTTAAAAAAAAAAACAAAAACAAAATAAAGCCAGGAGCCTGTCAGGGATTCAGGGTCTTTTCTGCCCCAGGGTAATCTCTGATGACCGGGTGCCTTTGATTTTCAGGATGCCTTTGAGCAGGGCCAAGTTTTTCTGGGAAGCAGTGAGCAGGGTTACGAGGTATGTGAAGACCTGCCCAGGGGCGTTCGAGGGAACCGCTGGAAAGCCGGCCTCACCATAGTTACCCCGGAGCGGAAGTTCATCCTTACCTGCCCCAGTGAGAAGGAGCAGCGAGAGTGGCTGGAGAGTCTGGGGGATGTCCTGTCCCGCCCCTTGTCGCCCCTCCACCTCCACCTCCTCAGTGAGAAGCAGGGACTGGCTGGAGGGGGGCGGAGGTGGGGGAATGTTCTTTTATTCTTCTTTTGGGCTCAGCTGCTAAGCTACCAAAGTTCTGACTCTGCTTTCCATTCATTGTCTTCTCTTCCTGCCAAGGAAAAACAGACATTGCACCTTGTTGCAGAAATCCCCTGAGGTCCCCAAGTTCCTCTAACAGGCTCCTTCTCCACTTGCCTTGGGAGGAGTTGGAAGAACACCCTGAGAGGGTTCTATTGAGCTGGGCAGCCTCCCTCCACCCCCACTCCCACCCCTAGCTCTTTTCTCATGAGAAAACTCTGGCCTGAGATTGTCAGGAGAGGTCACCCTGCTGGGCAGCTAGCTGTTGGTGTTCTGAATTCTTCCTCACCCAGAGGGAAGGGTATTTTTAGTGTCATTCCTTTCCCTGGGCCCTCCCTTCTGTCTCTCCTGCTCTTCTGCATCACCCCACAAGTGTCACTTGGAGGGGCCCTATCTCCTGCAGCTCTGCACGCAGGGGAGGTGTGCTTGCTAAGTAAGGTCAAGAAGTTTCTGGCCCAGGGCCACCTTCTGTGGCACAATGGAGAAGTTCTGTGTTTGGAAAAGTACAGACTGAGCAGGTGACCCCTATGTGGCCCCTTGGGGAAAGCCCTTGTGCCCTCCGAGGCTGACTGATAGAAACACACTTACTGCTTGTCCCAAAGAGTCTCAGAAAAGGATGCAGAAGTGTTAGGGAATCCTGTGAGCCACCATTTTGTTCTCCATGGCCTCTGTGTGTGTGTGTGTGTGTGTGTGTGTGTGTGTGTGTATGCGTGTATGCGCATGCGTGTGCCTCTCAGTTTTTCCCTGTCTGTTTGTCAATTTGCTTTTTCTCCTTTTTGAACCTGTGGCCTCTCTGTCTCTCATTGTTTCCATCTGTTTTTAAAGTTCAGCTTTGTTTTATCTTTTGTATCAACTTTTTTTTTAAGTTTAAATCGGGGTTCCCTCTATCATTGCACACTGTCCCTGTGCTGTATTTTCCCCTCAGTCTGATGGCACTACCATGGCCCCTTCCCTCAGCCGTCTGTTTCCCTTGCAGCTGCATCAGCAGACAGTGGCAGCAGGTGACCTTTTGTCACAGTATCATTGCCGAGAAGGAGGCTGGCCGCTGAGCACCTGAGGTCCTGGGGCACAGGAGAGTTCACCTCTGCCCTGGTTGCCCAGCTGTCCCTGGCAGAGAACTGTGGCAAGACTGACGCTGGGAACATTTCTCTGGCTGCCTGGGCTCCCTCTGGCTCCCCCTGCCCAGCCTCCGGAAGCTCTGGATCTGGTACAGAGATGAACCCATAGCCTGGCTCTACTGCACCCAGGCTGGAAATGTCATGAAGGCCTAGAATTTTCTCCCCAAGGTATCTGGAGGTATTGGGATAAAAAAGCACCACAGCCTAATGCGGATGACATTTTGCCAAACAAAATAAAAGGTCAATGTTTAATCTGAATCTAACCATGAGGAAATAATCAGACACAATCAGATTCACATTTAGGTGCCTGCTGCTAATTAATTAACCTAGACACTTCAAAATGTCAATGTCATGAAAGGTAAAATAGTAGAGAACTTCTAGATTAAGGGAGAGTAAGACATGTCAACTAGATACAGTTTAGGATTCTATTTTTTTTTTCCAGCCCTGGGGCTTGTACTCAGGGTCTGGTTACGGTCCCTGAGCTGCTTCTTCTCAAGGCTAACACTCTACCACTTGAGCCACAGTGCTACTTCTAACTTTTTCTGAGTGGTTTGTTTAAGAGTCTCACGGATTTTTCTGCCCAGGCTGGCTTAGAACTGGGATTCTCAGATCTCAACCTCCTGAGTAGCTAGGATTACAGGCATGAACCACCAGTGCTTGGTTGAGTTTTGGATTGGATCCAGAATTTAAAAAAATAGTTGCAAACATCATAATTGAGATATTGGAGAAATTAGAATATGGATGTATATTAGCTAATGGTGCTGTAAAATTTTGATAATTATGCTGTATTTTTTCACTTTTTTCAAAAAAATTATTGTTACTATAAAGATCATATTCAAAGGGGTTATAGTTATATGTCAGGTAAAGAGTACATTTCTTTTTGGACAATGTCACCCCTTCCCTCACTCATGCTATATTTGTATAGGACAAATGTTCCTGCTTTTAAGAGATATGTACTAAAGAAAAATATTATGATGTCAACAGCCAGTTCTTAAAAGAGTTCTACATAAAGTAAGTGTATGTATGCAAGTGTATGAACAGAATATATGTGTATTCAATCTGTAGTATCTTTATATGTACATGTATGTATACATGTGTCTCTGTGTATACATATATGTTTACTGAGAATATCTCTGTGCAAGATGTTAGTGATTGATAAATCTAAATGAAATATAAATAGGCATTTATTTTCCTATTTGTGCAAATTTAATATAAACTTAAAGTTTTGATATTAAAAAGTTTATGAAAGAATTTTATTTATTTTATTTTTGTCAGTCATGGGGCTTGAACTCTAGGCTTGGTTGCTGTCCCTCAGCTCTTCAGCTCAGGTTAGGGCTCTACCACTTGAGCCACAGTGTCACTTCTGGTTTTCTGGTGGTTTATTGGAGATAAGAGTCTCATGGACTTTCCTGCTCGGGCTGGCATTGAACCATGATCTTCAGATCTCAGCCTCCTGAGTAGCTAGGATTACAGGCATGAGGCACCGGATCCCAGCTATGAAAGAATTTTCAAAACCTACTTTTCACCTTTTAAAAGCAGTGGATTTTTAGCATGAATCAGAAATGTTCTGGAAGGTTAGGGATATGCCCTAGCAAGAACACAGCCCTGAGCTCAAACCCGAGTACCATCCTGCTGGGCAACAATGGGTTACACTGTATGTAAACTACTCAGGAGGCTGAGATCTTAGGACTGCATTTGAACCTACATCCAGCAGAAAAGTATATGGGACTCTCATTCACAATTAACTACCAAAAAGCCCGAAATGAAGCTGTGACTCATGTGACAGAGCAATAGCCTTGAGCAAAAAACTCAGAGACAGTTCCCAGGCTCTGAGTTCAAGCTTCAGGACCAGCATGTGCACATACATATATACAAAGTTCTTGGAGCCAGGCATGGTAGTGATGTGTACCTGTAAGTCCAGTTACTCAGGAGGCTAAGAAGGATCTCTTGAGCTCAAGGATTTGAAACTAGTCTGGGAAACATAGTAAGAACTCGTCTTTCTTCTTCTTCCTTCTCTTCCTCCTCCTGCTCCTCCTCCTTTTGCCAGTCCTGAGGCTTGAACTTGGAGCACTGTCCCTAAGCTTCTTTTTGCTTAAGGCTAGCACTCTACTACTTCCGGCTTTTTCTGTTTATGTGATATTGAGGAACTGTACCCAGGGCTTCATACATGCTAGGCAAGCACTCTACCACTAAGCCACATTCCCAGCCCAGAACTCATCTTAAAAAAAAAAAAAGAAAGAAAGAAAAGGGGGGCTGGGAAGGTGGCTCAGTGGTAGAGTGCTTGCCTTGCATGCATGAGGCCCTGGGTTTGATTCCTGAGCACCACATAAACAGAAAAAGCCGGAAGTGGTGCTGTGGCTCAAGTGGTAGAATGTTAGTCTTGAGCTGAAGAGCTGAAGGACAGCACTCAGGGGTTAACATGTTTAGTCTGCTTGAGGCCTTGGGTTTAATCCCTAGCATTAAATAAAGAAATTAATTTAAAATGTTCCTGAGGGGCTGGGAATGTGGCTTAGTGGCAGAGTGCTTGCCTAGCATGCATGAGGCCCTGGGTTCGATTCTTCAGTACACATAAACATAAATAAATACACAAAATTACATAAAGAAAGAAGAAAGCAATTGAAAAATTTTTCCTAGGAGACATCCTCCTCTGTGCACGTTTGAGAATAGAAGCTCAGATAAAATAGGAATAACAGCCAGCTGCTGGTGGCTCTCTCCTATAATCCTAGCTACTCAGGAGGCTGAGATCTGAAGATCACAGTTCAAAGCCAGCCTGGGCAGGAAAGTCTGTGAGACTCTTATCTCCAATAAACTACTTAGAAAAAGCTGGAAGTGGCACTGTGGACAAGTGGTAGAGCGCTTGCCTTGAGCACAAAAAGCATAGGGACAGTGCCCAGGCCCTGAGTTCAAGCCTCAGGACCAGCAAAACAAACTAGAAATAATATCTGCATTGATGATCACAGTGCTCTGCAAAGAAAGAAACAAGCTGAGCACTCCTATTTTCATTGGGGCACACAGCAGAGAGCCATCCACATGGGACAACAGGAAAATTCATGTCTTCAATTCTTTGCCTTTTCATCTCTTAAATAAGGAAGCAGGTACGTGTGTCTCATATCTGCAATCTTAGCTACTCAGGAGGCTCAGATCTGAGGATCATGATTCAAAGCTGGTCTGGTCAGAAAAGGCTGTAAGATTCTAGCCTCCAATTAACCATCAAAAATCAGGGAATGCAAGTGTGGCTCAAGTGGTAGCGCACCAGCCTTGAGCAGAAAAAGCTAAAAGAGAGTTCCCTGGCACTGTGTTTAAGCCATAGTACTGGCATAGACACATGAAAACAGGAAGTTGGACTAATGATTAAAATGTCAGGATAAGTATTTCTGCTCATGATGTGGTTCCTGCTGTTACACACTAACGCCTGCAGGAGGCAGAATCCCTTCACTAGGGCAGCACAAGGAAGCAGGTGTTCAGAAAGGGGAAGAGCAGACTGCTATGGGATTTGGCAATAGAGCTTACAATGATGGACGGGGAGAGAAGACTCTGTTCCCCAAACACTATAACCTCCAAGCTGTGTAAAGGTTAGCCAAAGGGAAGAGGGTAAGGAAGAACAAAAAGCTACGCAAAAATGTCAAAGGCCTCAAGATGGGAAAAAGGAACTGAAAGAAATCTCAAATGGCTGAAATGTTAGAGAAATCTGAGGGGCCAGTATTCATACTCTATGATTCTTTGTTCCTTGTTTTTTGGGATTTTTTTTTTTGCTTTGTTTTCTGACCCAGGGGTTTGAATTTAGGGATGGCCTTCTACTGTTTGAGCCACGCCCTACTTTTTATTGGTTAATTGGGGATGTAGTCTCACAGACTTTTCTGCCTAAGCTGGCTTTGAATCTTGATCCTCAGATCTTAGCCTCTTGAGTAGCTAGAATTAATAGACATGAACAACTGATGCCAGCTCTTTGTTCCTTTTATTGCCTTACAAGAGAGGTGAAGAAATATGTTGGGTGTTCTCTCTTCATTTCAATGAAGACCCAGAGGGTTGAGAGGGTCTTTAAGAGATTCTCTGGATGGGCGCTGGTGGCTCATGCCTGTCAGCCTAGCTACTCAGGAGGCTAAGATCTGAGGATCGCAGTTCAAAGCCAGCCTGGGCAGGAAAGGTCATGAGACTCTTATCTCCAATTAACCACCAGAAAACCAGAAGTGGTGCTGTGGCTCAAAGTAGTAGAGTGCTAGCCTTGAGCAAAAAAGCTCAGGGATAGCACCTAGGCCCTGAATACAAGCCCCATAACACATTCTCTCTCTCTCTCTCTCTCTCTCTCTCACACACACACACACACACACACACAGATCATCTCCATGTTGTGGGACTTTCCTTGGATCCTCATTTGGAGGACAAGCACCACATTGTAACCTATGGCTTATAAGCCACAGACCCAATTCCAAAGATTCCATTTGTCAGGTCCAGCCACTCCCCACAACAGTGGTGAAAGGCCTAGGAAGGAAGTTTATTAGGTACATGGGCATGCCTGGGGGGGAGGCAAAGTACACATGTTGGCACATCTTTAGGGTACAGACATTTAGGTTTATGTAAAAGAAGAGTGGGGCAGGGGAAGAGAGGTCTCCAGTCCCAGTCTCAGTGAGGTCTGCTGATCTTTATCTCAGTTCTGGTTCTTCCCGGAGTCCTGGAGAAGTTGTTATTGCTGTCATCATCTGAGAAAAATGACTTGGTTTCCATGGGATAAATACTGTGTGTGTGTGTGTGTGTGTGTGTGTGAGAGAGAGAGAGAGAGAGAGAGAGAGAGAGAGAAGGGGGGAGAGAGATATTTGGGACTCTGAACTCAGGGCCTAGGTATATCCATTCCCCCTTTTTTTTCCTTTCTTTGCCAGTCCTGGGGCTTGAACTCAGGGCCTGGATACTGTCCCTGAGCTTCTTTTGCTCAAGACTAGCGCTCTACCACTTGAGCCATAGCACCACTTCTGGCTTTTTCTGTTTATGTGGAACTGAGGAATCAAACCCAGGCCTTCACACATGCTAGGCAAGCATGCTACCATTAAGCCACATTCCCAGTCCTTCCCTTAGCTTTTTTGCACAAGGTTGACACTCTATTACTTGAGCCACAGCTCTACTTCTGGCTTTTTTTTTTTATGGTTAATTAGAGATAAGAGTCTCATGGACTTTCATGTACAAGCTGGCTTTAAACTGTACTCCTCAGATCTCCTGAGTAGCTAGGATTACAGTTGAGTGCCACTGGCATCCAGCTGGGCTAAACACTCTTGTTCTAGGGTGCAGCTTCATAATAGGTGATCGCCCTTGTTTGGCCAGGCGTGGTCTGTTCTATCTTTACTTGGGATAGTTCTGGCTCTTGTCATACAGGTGCCATTCTATATGTCCTGTCCTGTCCTTGGATTTCAAGGTGGCTGCGGGGGGAAAAAATGGCTCAATGTAAAATGGATGCAGCGATGCCAAGCATTTCTCTAGCTTCTGGCTACCCTTTGGACATTTGTAGGCCCAAGGGAGGAGTCAGTGCTCCTAACAAAAGCAGTTCTTTTCTTTCCTTTTTTCCCAGTTAACAAACCTCTCCTAAGCTAAACCTCATTGGCTCTGACAGTGCCACTATGCAAAGCTAGCAAAAGCAGTTTCTAAGAACCTATTATAGCATGAGGTGTCTCCTTGAAGGAAGCTGCTCAAGTAGAGAGGTGGGTGGTCTAGCTCTCAAGGCACCTTGAGCATCTCTGTTTCAACACCTGCTGGAGCATTTACTTATTTGTCTTTTCCATGACCTCTGAGCTCTGTTGGGTTCACTCTGCTAAGGCCTAGAGATGAGGAAGTCAACAATGAAATAGTCCTACCCTCCAGGAAATTATGGTCTAGAGGGGAAGAAAGAGAAGTAAATAGGCAGTACCAAAGCTACTTGTGGAGGGAAAGAAGACTTCTGAGGGTAAGGGCTGCTCAGCGAGGCAGAGAACAGACACACACACAAGAGGTAAAGTTTCAATGCAACTGGCATATACAAAATAAGGTTACATTGGTATCAGTGATTCATACCTATACTCTTAGCTAATCAGGAGAATGAGATCAGAGGATCATGACTAGAGGCCAGCCTTGGTAAAAATGACTATGAAACTCCATCTCCAAAATAATCAGCAGAAAAGCAAGTCAAGAGGCATGGCTCAAGGAATGGCAGAGTGCCAGCTCTGAGTTAGGAAGCCGAGTGAACTGGAGCAGCGGGCCAGTGGCTCAGGCCTGTAATCCATATTTTTTGTGTGCAGGTACTGGGTCTTAAACTTAGGGCTTCACACTCTTTCTTAGCTCTGTTTTGCTCAAGGCTAGTGCTGTACCACTTCCTGCTTTTTGGTGGTTCATTGGTGCTAAGACTCTCTCAGACTTTCCTGCCCAGGCTGGCCTTTGAACTGTGATGCTCAGATATCAGCCTTCTGAGTAGCTAAGATTACAGTATGAGTCAGCAGCACCCAACCTGTTATTTTTTAAGAGGGAGGATATGAATACAGGTCAGATAAATGTTTAGCAGTCTGTCTATTTTACAAGAAAAGAGGGTCTTGGAACTGGAGGTGTGGCTCAAATGATAGAGCACCATCCATGCCAAGTAAGTTAAAGCACCAATACCAGCACATAAAGGAAAGAGAAACAGTGTGTGTCTTAGCGATGGTAGTGTGGCCCAAGTGGTAAGAGTACCTGACTAGCAAACACAAGGCCATGCATTCAACCCTTTAGTACCACCAAAAAAAAAAAAAAAGTAGATGCTATATGATCTAAGAAATACATTAGTCATCATGGGCTAGGTTATACTGAAACAAGTAAGCTTAGCACATCACAAATGCATCTGTCTCCTTTACTACATGCCCTAGTATAGCCCTGCACTGAATCTGCACATCATAGCCACCCAAAGCCCCAGGTTTCCCAGATGATCTTTTTTCCAAAGCCCCCCCCCAACAAATCAAGTGGGTAGAATAGGTCCAATCCTATTAGTGTCCACAATGGGAAACAGCTGGAAACAGTGTAGTGTGTGTGTGTGTATGTGTGTGTGTGTGAACACTAGGGCTTGAACTCAGGGCCTCACGCTCACACTTGGCTTTTTCACTCAAGGCTGGTGCTTTACCACTTGAGCCACACCTTCATTTCTTAAAAGCAATGACTCTTCATTTTGGGTCTGAAAATATGACGTCTATTTTATGCCTGTCTTTGCTCTTGTGGTCACCTAGGACTCCCAAATGGCAGGACTTACGCATACTTATGACAAAACCTGTTAGGCAAGAAAGACTTTCTTATCATGTTAAGCTCTTTTGCTTACTCCAGCAATAATGAGCAACTGGGCCACACCTGTGACTGGCAGTGTTTAATAATTATGCAGACCTCAACCCCCTTTTCCCACCCTTTCCTCTATTTAAAACTGAAATTCATGTCTATACCCTAAAGGTGGGCTGAAGTGCTTGCCTTGCCTCTTCCCATGATGTCTCTGTACTGCATATTAAATCTCCTTTCTTTGCCAGTCACCACTATTGTCTGTTTGGATTATTGAGTAAGTAGCTGGATTTGCCCTAACAGAACCTCTGGAGTTCAGCCTTTGTCCTACACCTCAGATTATGTAATATCTATTAGCCATTCCCAGCATTGGAAATAGCTGCAAACTTGTATAGTCTGGTACCTTCTTTGAGCCCAGGGAAGGTGGCATAAGTCAGGAATGAGTACAATATTTCTTGGGCAATGTCTCCCCTTCCATCCCTGTCCACAAGTTACACAGTTCATTTTTTTTACATACATCATATACATACATATATATATATACACACACACACACACATACACATATAATACAATGACTGTATTTGCTCACCCTTCCTTCTTCCATTCCTGTGCCCTTCTCCTACCCCTCCCTCCCCAGCATGACATTTTAAATCGAACAGATGAAAGTTAGGGGCTTCTGCCTCTGCTGGTCTATCATTGCTCTACAAACCTGGAAGCCCCCTTAGCTCTTCGGGTCATTGCCGGGAGTGGAGAGAAAACAAGCCCAGCAGATGCCGGATGTGCTGTTTTCTGGGAACCTATTTAGGAGTGTACTTTTAGCCCGCAGAAAGCAGTCAGGAGAGAATGGCACAATTAAGCAGTAAGACAGCTATTTCAAAGGGCTGGTTATTTCTTTTCTTTCTTCTCTCTCTCTGTTTGTCTCTGTCTCTCTCTCATCTTTTGGTCCGGGACCAGGACTCGAACTCTGTACCTAATGCTTTCTCTAATTCTCCCAACTGAGCCACGCCTCCAGCCCCTAGGGTAGCAACTTGAAAGCCTAGAGATCAGATACTACCCACTCTTCTTTAATCCCTTTACTATTGTTCAGAGGGGCTGACAGTGGACATAGCCCGACACCTGAGTTCTCGGGGGAAGCCTCTCTTCCTCCTCCTCCCATCAAGCTAAAGGGCGGTCTATGGAATACAGCGGGGTCCTAGCGGCTTCCGGGCGGCCGTCCGCCCCGTCAGCTCTGGCCGGAGGGCGGCGCGGGCTGAACCGCCGCGAGGAGCGGAAAAGGCGTAGGGGAGGAGGGGGTGGGTGGGTGGGTGGAGTGGACAAAGGAAGAACGAGGGAGGAGCCTGGAGAGACATCGGCCGCCACTTCCGGGCCAGGGCGGTGGCGGCCGGGTCCCCATGGCTGGCCCGGGTTCCAGCGCGGCTATCCCGGTATGGCTAGCCGAGGACGACCTGAGCTGCATCATCTGCCACGGGTTGCTCTCCTGGCCCACCACGCTGGCCTGCGGCCACAGCTTCTGCCGGAACTGCCTGATGAAGACGTGGGGTGCCCGGGGTGCAGGCGAGGCCGGGCGCCCTTGGGCCTGCCCCACATGCCGCGAGGGCGCGGCGCATGAGCCGCGGCTGTGCAAAAACACGCTGCTGCAGTACCTGGCGGACAAGTACAGCCGCGCGGCGCGGGAGCTGGAGGAGGGAGGGGAGCCCGCCGGAGGCCACGCCCACCGCGCAAGCGGAGGCCACGCCCACAACCTCGCGCAGGCGCTGGCTCCCCAGCCCCAGCGCTTCCGAGCGCAGCCGCGGGTAGGTAGGCTGGGCCCCTAGAGCTCCTTTCGGTGGCCTACCGTCTTCATCCTGCTCGCTGACCTTCTCTCCTTCTTCCCCTTCCCACTTTCACTTGCTCTAAAGAGAATCTGGAAATTTTAGATTAAGTGTCCAGGAGGAAAAAAAAAAAAACCTCCTTACAGTCCATCCACCTAGGGCTTGCACCTTTGCAATATTTCTGCTTTGTTTCAGTTTCTCTACCATCTCTGTGGGGGGAAAATTGATGTTTTACTTTTCCTCACAATGAACTGATGATTGAATCTAGATCCTTGCGCATGCCAGGACCACTTGAACCCCTGGCCCAGATTTTTTTGTCTTTTGCTTTAATTCTGCTTTTCAGATAAAATCGGGGCTGTACGGGCTTGGCTCAAACTCCAAAAATCTGATGATGAGTGTATTCACACACCTGTATGATTATAAAAGTTGACATTTTATAACTGTGATGATAAAAGTTGACATTTTAGCTGAGCTCTGTTGACTCATGCCTGGGAACCTAGCTACTCAGGAGGTTGAGATCTGAGGATCACTGTTCAAAGCCAGACTGGGCAGGAAAGTCCTGGAGACTCTTCAATTTACCAACAAAAAGCCAGAAGGGGAGCTGTGGTTCTCAAGTGGTAGCGAACTAACCTTGAACACAAAGTGTTCAAGTGTCCAGGCCCTAAGTTCAAGCCCCAGGACCAGCACACACACACACACACACACACACACACACACTAAAAAAAGAAGACATTTTAACAATATGGTGTGACTGACACCACCACTATTTTCAAGATTTTTTTTTTATCACCAGAAGCAGAGACTCTGTACCCATGAAGCAATAACTTCTCATTTACCCTCCTTCTAGATACTGGACACATCTAATCTCTTTTTTGCTTCTGAATTTTCTTTCTTTTTCTTTTCTTTTTTTGGGTCCTGTCATGGGGCCTGAACTCTGGGCCTGGGCGCTGTCCCTCAGCTCTTCAGCTCAAGGCTAGCGCTCTACTACTTGAGCCACAGCGCCACTTCCGGCTTTTTTCTTTTTGCTTATGTGGTGCTGAGGAATCGAACTCAGGGCCTGAGGCATTCAAGGCAAGCTCTCTACTACTGAGCCACCTTCCCAGCCCCATTTTTTTTTTTTTGTCAGTCGTGGGCCTGAACTCTGGGCCTGGGCACTGCTTAAGTGGTGCTGAGGAATCGAACCCAGGGCCTCATGCATGTAAGGCAAGCACTCTACCACTGAGCCACCTTCCCAGCCCAGAACTTCATTATTTTGTATAGTTGAATTATGGTGCACTGTATGGATATTTTAATATTGTTTTGATTTTTGGAGAGAGGGTCTCATGTCATACATACTGGCCTTAAACTGCAATTCTCCTGCTTCAGCCTCTTGAGTGATGGAATTACAGGCACTAACCACTACTCTCAGCAAGAATATATTCTGTGTGTGTGTGTGTGTGTGTGTGTGTTTTCAGGTCTTGGCATTTGAATTCAGGGCCTGGGAGCTATCCTTGAATTTATTCTTTGCTCAAGTCTAGTTGTTTTTCCACTTGAGCCAAGCCTCCACCCCTACTTTTCTCTGGTTATTTTGGAGATAGACTCTAGTAGATTCTTCTGCCCTGGCTGCCCTCAAAACAATATCCTCTGGATTTCAGTCATCTAAGTAGCTAGGAATATTAATGTGAGTCATCAGTACTCTAGCATACAAGTTTTTTTTTTTTCTTTCTTGGTGGCACTGGGGTTTGAACTCGGAGCTTTATGCTTGTTAGGCAGGTGCTCTACTGTTGGGAGCCGACAGTAAAGTTTAAAGGTCATCTTGACCCTCACTTGAAGGGACATACAAGGAACTGGCTTACTTAAAAACACTAGGTGCCCAGGATTGCTTTGCTATGTCTGCAGAGTTTGTTTTACTTTCTACCAGTTGACCTTGTCTTCTTTTTACTGCACTCTGTTTTTACTGAAATTTTCCTTGTTTTTCTGGACTATTGTAACCTTATGTTACCTCTTGACTTCTAATAGTATATATTAGGGAAAGTTAAAAATGAACGGTGCTGCAGTCTTGAACTGCAGACCTCCCGACCCCATCCTTTGTCTTAAGTCTTTATTTTTCCGTCCTCGCCCCCTAATTCAGGATTTCCTTTCGTTGCCAGCAGGCTCCGGCACTCTACTAGTTGAGCTAGGATTCCAGCCTCTATTTTCTTTCTTCATTTTTCAGGAGAATGGGGAGGGGATTAACTCCAGGGCACCATGCATGCTAGGCATACCATCTTGTCTACCACGAACCGCACCTTCAGCCCCTGAGTTAGGTGTTAGGTAAGAGTCTGTTTTGATTCTTTTGCCATGTGGACATAGTTTCCCTATGAGCACCCCTTTCCCCATTGAATAGTTTCAGCACCTTAGTCAAAATTTTGATTTCTTTGTTTCTCTATTATTATTTTTTTTGGGGGGGGTCCAGTCATGGGGCTTGAACTCTGGGCCTGGGCACTGTCCCTCAGCTCTTCAGCTCAAGGCTAGCGCTCTACCACTTGAGCCCAGAGCCACTTCTGGCTTTTTTTTTTTTTGCTTATGTGGTGCTGAGGAATTGAACCCAGGGCTTCAGGTATGCAAGGCAAGCGCTCTACCACTGAGCCACCTTCCCAGCCCCTATTATTATTATTTGCAACATTACAGTTAAAACTTAGGACTGTATGCTTGCTAGGTAAGCATTCTAAGTCTTGCTAGGTAAGCATCCCAGTCCTACAAAAATCATTTGACTGTTTATGTGAAGGTTTGCTTCTTGGCTCTTCATTCTAGTCCATTGCTTATATGTCTGTCTTTCCTCTGTGCCAATAACAGTGTTTATTGCTCACTCTGTTTAGTGGGGTCTCTTGGGTCCAGTGTTTTGTAGCTCAGCTCTGCTCTTTTAAAGGTAGTGGGACAGCAGAACACTGCAGAGATTGCTCAGGAGCTGAAAGAGTTGGCTGAAGAGCTGGTAGCCATTGTCAAGAGCCTTCAGAGGCAGAAACCCCTCTCTGGATCTGGAGCAGACGATGAATTGAGCATCTTGGACAAGGTAGGCTGTCCTGAGAGAAGGAAGTGATGAAGGAGGGGGATAGGATTAGAAACAGCTTGCAACTAGAGCAATATGACTGTTTTAGAAGTCAAAGACATAGACAAGAAGTTTCTATTTTTAACCATTCTGTTTATTACAAAACATGGTGGATGGCTGGAGGTATTCGGAAAGGTTAACTGGGCTAATTCATCTGTGAAACTTCATCTAACTAGCTCTGTAAGCAATCACCAAAGATATCTAGGTCAGAGATCTTCTAGGCCTTATTTTCATTGATTTTTTTTTTATTTTGGGGGGAAAGGAGCAATACTAACATAGAACCCAGGGACATTGTACATGCTAGGCAAGTACTCTACTATTGGGCTATATCTCCAGATTTTGTTTTTCTGGGGAGCAGGACAGAGTCTTGTTTTATAGTCCAGTCTAGTCTCAAACTGTTGATCTCCTGCCTCTGCTTCTGGAGTACTGGGATTACAGGCCTTCACTCTGGACAAATTCATTTCTGAGATGCATTATAGTAGCTACATAAGTCTCTAACTTCAATTCCCAGTACTATAAAAAAAATCTGGGGGCTGGGAAGGTGGCTCAGTGGTAGAGTGCTTGCCTTGCATGCCTGAGGCCCTGGGTTCGATTCCCCAGCACCATATAAGCAAAAAGAAAAAAGCCGGAAGTGGCGCTGTGGCTCAAGTGGTAGAGCGCTAGCCTTGAGCTGAAGAGCTGAGGGACAGCGCCCAGGCCCAGAGTTCAGGCCCCACGACCAGACCCCAAAAAAAAAAAGAAAAAAAAAAGAAAGACAACTATGAGGTGAGAAGGAGAAGAGAGGAGGGGAAAGAAGAAGCAGAAGAGGACAAATCCAAATCTTCTATAACCCTACAACTCAGAAATAACCATTCCATGGTATTTTTGCTGTTTTGCATATTATTTCAGACTGTTTTCAACTTTCAGACTGTTACCTTAATTTTTTTTAATTTATTATATTTACTTATTTTTTGCCAGTCCTGGGACTTGAACTAAGAGCTTGGGCACTGTCCCTGAGCTTCTTTTGCTCAAGGCTAGCACTCTACCACTTGAGCCACAGGGCTACTTCCAGCTTTTTCTGTTTATGTGGTGCTGAGAAATGGAATCCAAGACTTCGTGCATGCTAGGCAAGCACTCTATCACAAAGCCACATTTGCAGCCCTCAATTTTGTTTCTAAAAGCTTTCTTGGGACCCAAGTGCTGGTGACTTATGCCTGTTTTTCTAGCTACTCAGGAAGCTGAGATCTGAGGATCAAGGTAAGCCAGCCTGGGCAGAAAGGCCCATGAAACTTCCCATTAACCATCAGAAAACTGGAAGTGGAACTGTGACTGTGGCTAGTGGTAGAGCACAAGCCTTGGTAAAAATTTCAGGGAAAGCACCCAGGTCCTGGGTTCAAGCTTCACAACCCACAAAAATGCTTGCTTGGGGTTTAGAGGTGTGCCTCAATGGTAAAGCACCTGCTTAGCAAGCATAAGGCTCTGAGTTCAAACTCAGAGCAAAATAAGTTTGCTCAGAGTTGAATGGAAACTTGTAAGTGGTGACAGAACTTGAATCTAACATTTGATGGGTTCTATGTGGGACTTCCATTTGTTATTTTATGATTCATCCATAGACTTCTCCACAAACCCTTTCACTGGCTTCTTCAGAGCCAGTGACTCCCAATGCATCTGAAGGAAAAATGAGAGATAGTCTCCAAGATTTAAAAGAAATACTGGAAAAATTGCAAAGAATTCTCACGTGGAATGAAGTTTCTGAAGAACAAACACAGGGTGAGTTGGTTTTTTATAGTAGAGTAGGATATTTGGATACCTTTGGTTTGTACTTTTCTGATGGGACTTGTTCTTTTTTCTTTTTTTTTGTTTTAATTCCTTAGTGGATGTGCTAGCAGTGCCATCATCTTCCATATGCCCACTGTTTGCCCAGAGCTTCCCAGCAACCAGGAGGGCCTCTCGGTTTGCTCAGTGTAAGTATACAGTCTTCTTAAAACTTGGGTTTGATCTGCTGCAGATAGGTACTGTGGGAATGTGTGTGTCCATCTTTGTCGCAAGGCCTATTTCTTGGCTTATGGCCCTTGGATTTGTTCGTCAGACCAGGCGCTTCCACATGTTGAGATGGACAGGCTGAAATTCCCCAATACCCCAGTCTAGGGCTCAGCTTGAAGCTTAAGTACATCGAGCACAGGCAATATTTGGGCATCTGTGATGGGGCCACCAGCCAATGGTCTGTTCCTTCATCTGCCCCAGTCTTGTGAGCTTGGATAAGTCATTTCACCTGTTAGGGCCGTTGTTTCCCCCCCACCTCACCATGAAATGGAGATGATAACAGTACTTTTGTGGAATTGCTGTGAGGGTTACATGAGTAGATGTGTGTGATGTATCATGGTATATGACAGCAGGCTTTTACTCACTTAAGCAACAAGGTGGGCTGGCCTTGTAGCCCTATGGGGGAATATGTGTTTGGTTGCTTGGTATGCATAAGTTCCTGAATTTAATCTCTAGCACAATTTTTTTTAGCAATCCATGTATGTTTTATTTTATTTTATTTTTTTCAAAATTTTTATTGGGATTAAGTGGTTACATAATTTCCCAAAGTTCACAGTATTGTGGGATAGTGAAGTTTAGTTAAAGTCACAAACATTCTAACTTTCATAGGACAAATTGTCTATTATGGTCTATAACATTTATGAGTTCGATGAGCTTTGTAATACAGTTATTTCTTCCACATTGGGTGATATGTACATTTCTTTTTTTTTTTGCATATTATCAGCTGTTCCTTCTTTCCCATTTGTTCCCTCCCTCCCATCACTGCCATTGTGTTGCTTAGTTCATTTTGATCAATGTCCACTGCAGCTGATGGGTCCCGCTGTTATATGTTTTTCCCTGATTCCCTCTAGTTCTATGTCATCCTCCTGGTTTCCCTCCAGTGTGCACATATATACCATATGTGTGATCAGCAGCATGGGGGTTATTTAGTAGTGATTCGACCAGATGAGTAGAAGTCCTTTGTTTCTTAAGTCTTGTTAATTTTGTCGTATCACCTAACATTTTGGATTTAACATCCACTTATCAGGGAGACCGTGTGCCGTTTGTCTCTTTGCACTTGGCTTACCTCGCTCAACATGATTTCTTCTAGCTCCATCCATTTCCCTGCAAATGCCATTATTTTGTCGTTTCTAATGGCTGCATAATATTCCATTGTGTATAGATACCACAATTTTTGGATCCATTCATCTGTGGTGGGGCATCTGGGTTGTTTCCATATTCTTGCTATTGTGAACAGTGCTGCAATAAACATGGAGGTCTAGCACAATTTTTTTTAAAAAAGGAAACAGGGCTAATTATGTTGTCACATACCTGTAATTCCATGTATTTGGGAGGCAGAAATCAGGAGAATCAATGTTTGAAGCCAGTATGGGCAAAAAGCTAAGGGGATTTTGCATCAATAAAAACCTGGTCATGGGGGTTGGGAAGGTGGCTCAGTGGTAGAGTGCTTGCCTTGCATGCCTGAGGCCCTGGGTTTGATTCCTCAGAACCACATAAACAAAAAGAAAAAAGCCAGAAGTGGCGCTGTGGCTCAAGTGGTAGAGTGCTAGCCTTGAGCTGAAGAGCTGAGGGACAGCGCCCAGGCCCAGAGTTCAAGCCCCACAACCAGACCCCCCCCCCAAAAAAAAAACCTAGTCATGGTGGTTTAAAGCAGCTAGAATATTTTCTTTTTTTTGTTGGTCATGGGGCTTGAACTCTGGGCCTGAGTACTGTCCCTGAACTCTTCAGCTCAAGGCTAGTGCTCTACCACTTTGAGCCACATTGCCACTTCTGTCATGGTGATTTATATCTGTAACCCCAGCTAAATGTGGTAGGTGTAGGTAAGAGGTTCAAGGTCTTAGGCTGGGAAAAAAGCATGAGACCCCATCTGAAAAATAAATAACGGAAAAAAGGGCTGGGAGTATAGTAAAGCACTTGGCTACTAAATGGGAGGCCCTAAGGTCAAGTCCTAGTGCCACCAAAAAAAAAGTAGATATATTGTGAGTGTATATTCATATATTTATACACACAAAAATACACATATATATTTGTGTGTACACTATTGTATATACATAAAAACATATTTATGTATACAATATGCATATTCATACATATACACATACATACATACATATATATACACACATATAATATATACAAATGAATGAGACATGGGCCATCATGTGAAAGCTGAAGATTAGGAGAAGACTATTTGGTGATGAGAACCAGTGGGAAGGTGAAAGGAGAGTGAAGGGAGGTGTATGGTCTATATATGTCACATGCATGTATGAAAATAGTATAAACCTGTTAAAATTGTTTAGAAGGGTGGGAGAGAAATAATAGAGGGAATGAATTTGATCAAAGCATATCACATGCATGTATGAAAAAATCAAAACTCTTTTGTACAATTCAAATAAGCTAATAAAAATGAATAAATAGCTGTGTACAGTGGTTCACACCTATAATTATAGCTACTGTGAAGACAGAGATTGGGAGGATCACAATTCAAAGACAGTTCAGGCAAAAATATTGAGAGACCCCCTCCCATCTCAACCAAGAAGAAGCTGGGTGTAGTAGTAAGCACCTGTTATCCTAGCTACTCAGTAATTGGTCTGGGTATAAATGTAAGACCCTATTTGGAAAATGTTGATAGCAAAAAGGGCTGGAGGAGTGGTTCAACTAGCAAGTGCAAGGCCCTGATTTCAAACCCTACTACTGAGGCTGGGAAGGTGGCTCAGTGGTAGAGTGCTTGCCTTGCATGCCTGAGGCCCTGGGTTCCATTACTCAGCACCACATAAGCAAAAAGAAAAAAGCCGGAAGTGGTGCTGTGGCTTAAGTGGTAGAGTGCTAGCCTTGAGCTGAAGAGCTGAGGGACAGTGCCCAGGCCCAGAGTTCAGGCCCCACGACTGGATCCAAAAAAAAAAAAGAAAGAAAGGCAAACCCTACTACTGCCAAAAAATTAAATAAACAACCCCCACAAATGGTCCTAGCTACTAAGGAAGCTGAGCTCCAGAGGTTGGTGGTTTGAAGCCAGCCCAGATAGAAAAGCCCTTGAACTTCATCTACAAAGTAACCAGCAAAAGGCCAGACTGGAGGCATGGCTTAAGATATATAGCACCAGCCAAGCAAGCAAGCTAAGTGAACATAAGCCTTGGGTTTGAACTCCAGTACCAGCACATAAACAAACAAACAAAAAGAAATAGCTGAGAGATACAAACAGCCACGTTCATTACTCATAAATCACAGAGGCATTGAGAACTGCAGGAGTTGACTTCGTACTGTGTGAGATTTGGGGTTAGCTTCCTGAAAGGTGGGTAAGCAGTATAGGCAAAAATCAGAATAGGAACAAGTTACCTCTGATAGAAGGCATGTAAAGAAAATTATACGTTTATATGTCAATATTTATGGCCTACAACAAGTAAATTATAGAGCATCATCAAAAGCAGTGAAAGATTTAATGCTACCTTTTGCTATTGGATAACTTTTCAGCATGTATGATCAAAAGCTGACCTGCCATGTTCTTATGGTGTTGATTTTTCTCTCTAGGGGCCATCTATCCAAGCTTTGACTTGAGGAGTCTCTCCTCTAACCTGGAAGTATCTACAGATTGCCGGACAGTGACTGTATCTCACTGGCCACATTCCTATCCCTGGAGACCTGAGAGGTTTTCTAGTAGCCAAGTCTTGTGTTCCCAGGCCCTCTCTTCTGGGCAACAGTACTGGGAAGTAGACACTAGCTCCTGTAGCCACTGGGCTGTTGGAGTGGCTTCCTGGAGCATGAACCGGAACTGGATGCTTGGAAGGACTATGGACTCTTGGTGTATAGAGTGGAAGGGCACTGGCCAGTTCTCTGCATGGACCAACGTTAAGAAAATCAGCCTTGACTCAGACCAGCCTAAGGTGGTGGGCATTTGGCTTGACCTTGAAGAGGGCAAGCTTGCCTTCTATTCAGTGGACAATCAGGAAAGGCTTCTGTATGAGTGTGAAGTTTCCATCTCTTCTCCTTTGCACCCTGCCTTCTGGCTGTATGGTTTAAATCCTGGAAACTCTCTGACTATAAAGCAAGTCAAGGCATAAAGGTTCCTTAGGGGTAGCCGGGCGCTGGTGGCTCACGCCTGTAATCCTAGCTACTCAGGAGGCTGAGATCTGAGGATCGCGGTTCAAAGCCAGCCCGGGCAGGAAAGACCCTGAGACTCCTATCTCCAATAAACCACCAGAAAACCGGAAGTGGTGCTGTAGCTTAAGTGGTAGAGCGCTCGCCTTGAGCTGAAGAGCTGAGGGACAGCGCCCAGGCCCAGAGTTCAAGCCCTATGACTGACAAAGAAAAAAAAGGTTCCTTAGGGGTTAAAACACACCAGCTTCTCCATTTCTTTCCCTGCCTTCAAGCAGGATGGTAACTTGACAAGAAATCTCACTTTGGGGGCTGGGAATGTGGCTTAGTGATAGAGTGCTTCCCTAGTCTGCATGAAGCCCTGGGTTCAATTCCCCAGTACCACATAAACAGAAAAAGTTGGAAGTGGCACTGTGGCTTAAATGATAGTGTGCTAGCCTTGAGGAAAAGAAGCTCAGGGACAGTACCTAGGTCCTGAGTGCAAGCCCCATGACTGGCAAAAAACAACAACAAAAAACCTCACTTTTGGCTAGGGATGTGGCTCAAGTGATAGAGAAATGCTTGGCAAGCACAAAAGCTCCTAGTTCAAACCCCAGCGTCTCCAAATCAAATAAAAATACAGCCAGAAGCTGGTAGTTCATGCTGTAATCTTACTCAAGAAACTGAGATCTGAGGATCAAGGTTTGAATCAGCCCAGACAGACAAATCTGAGAGACCCATATCCAATTAGCCAGCAAAAAGCCAAAAGTAGAGATGTGGTAGAGAGCCAGACTTGAGTGAAAAAACCAAACAAGAGTAGTAAGAGGTCCTAGAGACAAGCCCCTATATAAGCAAAAATTAATTAAGAATAAAAGATTCCTGGGGCTGAGAAGATGGCTCAGTGGTAGAGTGCTTGCCTTGCATGCTTGAGGCCCTGGGTTCAATTCCTTAGCACCATATAAGCAAGAAGAAAAAAGCCGGAAGTGGTGCTGCGGTTCAAGTGGTAGAGTGCTAGCCTTGAGGGGAAGAGCTGAGGGAGAGTGCCCGGGCCCAGAGTTCAGGCCCCATGACCGGACCCCCCGCAAAAAAAAAAACAACCAAGAATAAAAGATTCCTTTGAATTGTGATGTTCTACTTGTAGTTGCATCTCATTAAAAAAAATTGCATTTTGAGGCTAATCTTTTTTCATGGTACAAGATTGAGGACATTGAGCCCTAAACCTATTAAAGAAATAACTGACCTCTGACCAGCTCCTGGGAGATGACTTCTCTGAGGGGTAAGGACTGTCCAGCCTGCAGACCAGGCTGTATAAGCACATGACATCATTTAGTAGAAGACACCCCAGACAGATAAGCTTTCCATCAGTTTCCAAGGCCCTTTGTCTGCCCGTACTGCACTTGCATGGCCCATGAATGATGTTATGAATAGCTGGATGGACCTTGGCAGAAAAAAGGTTCCCTACCTCTGATGCTGCCTAATAAGTGTGCCTTCATTTTCCTGGAAGCTTTGTGCTAAGTAGTAATACCTTGATATCAACAGGATGGGAAACTCAGCCTTGTGGGCAATGACACGGGCAGACATGACTGGCCCTCAATAAATGCTCTGGGCACCATGGCTAGGGTGAGCTTTCCTTGGTGGCAGCACTCCATGAATGTTCCTGCACATCCCACTGGGAGAATTACCTGTTGGGTTGTTTTCATGATTGTGCTGGGAGAGGATGAAGGCGAGATCTCCTATACCCTGTTCTGAATAAGTTAGTTTTAATGCTGCTTTTATTCTGGAGCTTTGTATTGTAATAAGCTAGAACTATGAGTATCACAGCTTTGCCATGCTCAGTTGAGTGCTTGTAATGAATCACTTAGGGACCTCCAAAGAAAAGAAGCATGGATTACTTATCAATTGCTGGGTAATATAAATTTACGTGTGTGTGTGTGTGTGTGTGTGTGTGTGTGTGTGTGTGTGTATGTGTGCATGTACGTGCTAGTCCTAGGGCATGAACTAAGGGCCTGAACTATCCCTGAGCTTTTTGTGTTCAAGGCTACTGCTCTATCACTTGAGCCACAGTTGCATTTCTTGCTTTTTTGTGGTTAATTGGAGATAAGAGTCTTATGGACTTTCCTGCCAGGGCTGGCTTTGAACTGTGATCCTTAGATGTCAAACTCCTGAATAGCTAGGATTACAGGGGTGAGCCACTGGTGCCTGGCACTATTTCTTTTAGTTTAAAACAACACGAAAGTGTGAGGTGCAGATGGCTCATGCCTATAATCCCAGCAATTCAAGAAGCTGAGATCTGAGGATAGTGATTTGAAGCCAGCCTGGGCAGGAAAGTTCCATGAGATTCTTTATCTCCAATTAATGACTCTCAAAAAAGAAAAAGCTGAAAATGTAGCTGTGGTTCAAGTGATAGAGCCTCAGCCTTGAACAAAACACCTAGAAGAAAGTGCTCAGGCCCTGAGTTCAAGCTTTGGTACTGGCAACAACACAAAACCAAAAAACCAACAAAAATAATGTACAAACTGGGTTTGTGGTGGTAGGGCACATGCCTTTAGTGTATATAAAGATATGTATAAGGCTCTGGATTAGATGCCGAGCACTGTGAAAAAGTCAAAAGAACAAAGCAAAGAAACAACACCCCACATTGATTAGCTCTTGATTTCTATTGGTCAAATCAGGGCACAGATTCGCTGTGGCATCTGCTTCTGAGTCTCACAAGCTACAATTAACTTGTGTGCTTAGGGCTGCAGTGTCCTCTGAGGCTCAGTTGAGGGAAGATCAGCCTCTATACTCACTCTGTTGCTCGCAGCATTGGTTTCCTTTCAGTTATTAGACTGACAATGTCAGCTTTTTTTGTTGGTTCTTAGCTGGAGGCCACCCTCAGTTTCTTACTCCGCGATTTTTGCTTCTTTGAAACCAGCAAGGGAAAGTCTCCTAAATGGACATGGAATCTTATATAATAACAAATAAATACATAATTGCATATAGCCCATCGGTCTTTGCTTTATTGTTTGCTTAAAAGCCAGTCGAGGATCATACCCACATTCAAAGAAGCAAATAAGTAAAGGGCACAAAGACCAGGAGGCAGGGACCAGGGAGTCTGCCTGGTAGTTTGTCTTGTACAGGGTTTCAGTTCTAGTTGGGAAAAACCATTTTATTATATAACAAAACACATATGGAGCTTAAAAACCCTTATTAGCTACCACTCAGGTAAAGAAGTAGAACCCTCCGCTGATCACTTTTGTGCCTTTCCTTCCGTTTTATATTTATTTATTTTTGTGCTGATATTAGTCCTACGTGCTATCCTTTAACTGTTTGGCTCAGTCTGGAGCTCTGCCACTTGAGCCACAGCACCACTTGTGGCTTTTTGCTAGTTAAGAGTCTCAAGAATTTGTCTGCCCAGGCTGGCAGATCTTATTCTCCTGAGTAGCTAAGATTAAAGGTGGGAGCCACAGGTGTCTGGTGGGGCTTTGACCTCTGGGCCTGGGCATTGTCCCTGAGCTCTTCAGCTCAAGGCTAGCGCTGTACCACTTTGAGCCACAGTGCCACTTCCAGTTTTCTGGTGGTTAATTAGAAGAGTCTCACGACTTTCCTGTCTGGGCTGGATTTGAACAGTGATACTCAGATCTCAGGAGATAGGATTATAGGCGTGAGCCACTGGTGCCCAACTTATGAATATTCTTGAAATGATAAGTCAGTAGAATTTTTCCACCAGATCTGTCCATTGGCTGTGAGCCTCTTCTCTTCAGGCTCGATGGGCTTTATTCTATCCCTAATGGTCAAAGGAAGCTGAGGCCCACACAGAATTATCAGTTAGTTTAGGGTCAAGTTGGTCATGGTAGAAGTGGGACTAGGTCTACTTTCCCTTCTCTTTGAGTGTCTAATCTTCCTGCTACATTCTGATAAGATTCCACACTGAGACCAAAACCTGGTCTTCTCCATTGATGGAACACAGCTACCCCTGCAGTCATGAGGCTCTTATTTTTCTGTGTTAGTGGTTGGGTTGTCTAACTAGGAAGAGGACTTCTCTCTTGGTGTTATGTGTTATTAAAAGACTCTCTCAGGCTGGTTGCATGGCTTATGTGGGAGAGTGCTTGCCTAGCATGAGTAAGGCCCTGGGTTCAATCTCCCCTGAAAAAAATGATTCTCTGCTCTTCCTGTATCATGGTATGTTTAGGTGGCCAGTTTGGCCTTGATGTTTGCCTTTTGTATATAGATTAAGAATTGATTTCTGTTCGTTAAATACTGTGTTCTCATGGGAATTGATAATGAGGTCTCTATGATAGGTCTCTGCCAGCCACATGATTTCTCCAAACTGGAGCCAAAACACAAGGTCACGGAGGTGGGAATGGACATTGCCACTTTTGGGTCCCTTGCTTTTGTTCCCTTTTTACTATCAATACCTCCCTTCCAGTACACCAGAAAGTGACATTCTTCGTTAATCAAAACATAACATTCTCCATAGAAAAAAATATAGCCAAAATGCCAGTGGGTGAAGGACCTCTCACTGGGTCTGCACTGTGGGGGGTGAGGAAATCACCCGCCCATGAACTAAGCTGGAAAGATCATAAAGACTACTTAGTCTATTGAAGCTATTATAACAGAAAACCACAAGCTGGGTGTCTTATCAATAATAGAAGTTTAATTCTCAGTCTAGAGCCTAGGAAGTCTAAAATGGAGGCACCAGCAGATAGATTTGATGTCTACTAAGTGAGCTCTCTGGGAATGAGGACTCTCTCTCTCTCTTTCTCTCTCTCTCTCAGCACCAATCCTATGATTAGGGACCTACCCTCATGATGTAGCCCCCACTCCCTCTATTACCATCACATGGAGTTGGGGAATTTAGTATATGAGGGATACAAACATCCAGTAACAGGGACCAAAGGTTTATGGGAAAAGCACCAAGGACTCTGAACAGCTTCTTGCCTTATCTAGAGGTGTTTCTTTCAAAAACCTGTGCTTTCTTCTGGTCTTGAACTGTGGTAAGTGCTTTTTTTCTTGGGAGTTGAGGATAATGAGTAGCTGGTGAGCAAGGTGGGCTGTTGGCTTTTGTTGTTGTTAATGGTGGTGGTGGTGGTGGTGGTGGTGGTGGTGGTGGTTGTGTGTGTGTGTGTGTGTGTGTGTGTGTGGTCAGTACTGGGGCTTGAACTCAGGGCCTGAGTGCTGTACCTTGTTTTTTTTGTTCAAGGTTGACACTCTACCAGTTGAGTCATACCTGCATTTCCAGTTGTTTTTTTTTCCTGGTTATTGGAGATAAAAGTCACAGAGAC